AGGAGGTGCTTTGGTTGTGGGTGTGCTTGTTAATTTGATGTGCAGTCAAGAGGGTAGTCAGCGCTGAAGAAACCACAATGTCCCCAAGGAGAGGCGGAGGAGAGATCAGGGGTGTGCCTGGGGAAAGTCACATGAGAGCCCTGGAGACAAAGTCAAAGGCCAGCAGCAAACTGGAAAAGCTGCTTGCAACATAGTCAAGATATACAAGGTCTGTAATATGTAAAGAGCTCATAAAAGTCAATAAGAAAAAAAGCTCAGCAATTCAATGGAAAAATTAGAAATTATCATAAAAGAGAAAATAGAGACTGAGAGAGCAAAGATTGAGTGCTGTGTGGAAAGTTTACTTGTCCAGCAGGAAAGTGGATCCAGCATTGGGTCTAGGATCTAGTCCAGGATGAGTCTGGGTAGGACTTTTAAAGCCAAAAAATAAAATGAATGGGAACAGGCTCTGCCCCACATTGGGAAAGCTGGTCTGCAAGGTTACTGACCCCAGCAACATGGGGCTATCAGACCAGCACTCCTGGGCCTGGGGCTGTGGTCTGCAGGGAAGTGGGTGGCCCCTGGGGTCAGGGCTCAGTCTCCCCTACCTGTCTAATTTGGGTCACAGTGCCCAGGCAGGATTGCATCACAATCCTGTCCAGGCTGTGTGCTTTTGAAGGAGCAAATTACAGAATTAGAAGCACAAACAGCCAACAAACGTATAAAAAGGTGTTCAGCCACACTAACAAATAAAGGTATGCTCATTAACATACAAATGCCAGGGTTAGTGTATCAAGGGTTCTCCAGAGAAACAGAACCAATAGAATGTACATACACATATATACGAAGAATTTCTTCATAAGGAATTGCCTCACGTGATTATGGAGGCCAACAAGTCCCCAGATCCGCTGTTGGCAAGCTGGAGACCCAGGAAAGCTGATGATGTAAGTTTTAGTCCACAGACTGGAAGGCTCAAGACTCAGGAAGAGCCAATGATTCAGTTGGAGTCCAAAAGTAGGAAAAAGCTGACTGCCAGCTCAAAGACAGTCAGGCAGGGGGAATTCTCTCTTATTTGGAGGAGGGTCAAAATTTTTCTCCTATTCAAACCTTCAACTGATTGGATGAGGCCCACCCATACTAGGGAGGGCAATCTCCTTTACTCAGTCTATTGATTTAAATGTTAAACTCATCCAAAAACACAGAAACACTTAGAATAATATTTGACCAAATATCTAGACTACCCATGGCCAGTCAAGTTGACATAAAATTAACCATCACACCATGTTAGATGCATAAACATTAAGAAGATTGATGATAGTAAGCGCTGGTGAGGGGTGACATATGTGCATTTTTGTGTGCCAATGGCAGAAGAAGAAATTTCACTGATTATTTGGAGTGAAAGAGGGAATTGGCATAAAAATCCAATGCTAGCCCACAAGAATGTTCCCATGAGGACATAATGAGCATTCTTTGCAATATTGCTTATGATAGGAAAGAAAACCTCCAGGTTCATTAATATGATGGATAAATAAATTATAATATACCCATAAGGTGGAAAAACTGACTTAGATGTTCATGGTATGGAGTTAAGTGAAAAGATCAAATTGCAGAATGAATGTTGTGATCCCATTTTTAGAAAAGGTGCAACCAAAAAGACAAAACCCACAGGCAGGTGCACACGTCCACGGGGAGTCAGCCTCACTGTGGAGACGGCGAAGGTTTTCAGGGGTAAAAGGATAAGTTTCTCCTTTTACTTTGTCACCTCTTATGTGCTGGGATTTGTCCAAGCAGATGTTCATTTATTCATTGTTTTAAAAATAAAAAATTTTAAACACATTCGTTGGCAATAAATACAATATGGAAAGGACTTTAGAGATGATCTTGGTTTACCTCCTGACACATTACGAGGAGACAGGACGTCTCCGAGGTCAGGGCCTTCGGGAGGGAGAACCCGGAGTAGAAGGCAGGGACCCAGTTCCCCAAGGTGCGAATTGCCCACTGTGGTGATTTTCCTCAACCAAACAGTGGGGATGTGGCAGGAGAGGGCGGTCTTGGGGGCGTTGGGCTCAGGAGTTGGCGCCTGCCGCCCCTGAGGGGGCAGTCCACTGAGGGTCGCATGATCTGCTCTTAGGTTCTGTGCTTGTCTCCTGTTCATCCTTCTGGGGCCACGAGGGACTTCTGGGCTTTGGTCCCAGGCCCCATAGGTGAGGGTAGATCAGAAAAAAGGGTGACAAAAGGGAATCCAGGAGCACCAGGAGTCCCAGCGCACTGCAGAGGCAGAAACACAAATAACCTCACCTAACTGGCCATTCAAGGCCCCAAGTCCCAGCGTGCCAGGCGGAGAGATCTTCCCCAGCAGTGACCTCATGGTGCAGGTGCCCTGACATGCCGCCTGGCTGATGCAACAAGTCGTGGAGGGGCAGGTGAGTGAGCTGATCCCCTTCCCCACTTCGACCAAGACCCAGGAGCTTCCTGCAGCCAGGACCTGGAGCGCCCGGCCAGACTCTCACTGGGCCCGCTGGTGCCCTCCTTCACTGCACAGGAAGCCAGAGCTGAATGGGGAGGGGGTGAAGGCCCTGGGTGCCACCTCTCTATCATCAGCGCAGACCCGGGTCAGGGGCTGGGCCGACCCTGGGAGAGCAGGTCTTGGGTGAGTCGTGCCCCTCATGGTGTCACAGGAGCAGTGCAGCCAGGCGCTCAGCAGGGTGTGGGTCAGTAAGTGCTACCGGGTGAGGCCCGGGAACGTGGACCCTGAACAACCCCACTCCGCCTCCCCTCTGCTGGGCCCAGAGTCGGCTAGGACAGTGCGTCTGAAACTTTAGTGTGGGTAGAAATAATCGGGGTCCTGTACAAATGTGGGTGTTCCTTCAGTGGGCCTGAGATTCTGCATTTCTGGCAAGCTCCTGGTGATGCTGGTGCTGCAGAGCCTGGACCACACTTGAGTAACAAGAGTTTAGACTGAAGGGACACCGGACATAGTCATTACCAGTGGAGGGCTACAGACGACACCGGGTCTTCTGCTTCACCTGGAAAGATGTTTCTGGGGCTCCAGTCAAAGGCAGCCATGCTGAAGCAGCCGCCGGAAACCCCCGGTGCCTCTCAGCAAGCTAGAGGTGCACGTAAGCTTGTTATTCAAAAACCAAACGGTGAGCTTGGCTCCACACATGAAAATGCCAGTTCCTCCTCAGGTGCTGGCCCAGGCATCCTTGTGACGACCAAGGCCCCTGACGGGAACGGATTGTCCTGGGAAACAGCCACACCAACATGAAGATGGGAACCCCACGGGGCATGGGAGCAAAGTCAGCCAACTTGAGGATGGCGAGGGGAAGATGGTCACTCTGGTCACAGTGGCCCCCAGTGTGTGGGTGAGTACAGCACGAGGGGGGCCACAAGGAAGGCGCATGGCCATCGTGTGTGTGTGTGTGTGTGTGTGTGTGTGTGCAGGATGGGGCTGGGTGTGCAGAGGTGGACCGCGAGGGCAGCAGCTGCAGCCAGGGCATCGTCGAGGCTACTGTCCAAGGTGTGCAGGGCAGCCCCCACTCTGCCCTCAGCACCCAGCAGCCTGGGCATTGCGGTTCCAACTGTGCCACTCCGCTGTCATTCGAGGCTTGGAGTCAAGTCTCCCAGGACAGGAAAGCTGGACAATTCACACTTTCACCCACATCCTCTTTTGTTGGAAAGTCTGGGCTGTCACAGACCACATTCTAAGACAACTCCAGGCTGAGAGGGAACCTGGGAGTGATTCCTCCTCCACGTGCACCACTGATCAACCAGCCTCTGCTTGTACACATCCACTGCTGGTGAGCTCACTCCCTCCGAAGGCAGCTGGCTCCACGATGCCACAGACCTGACCTCTAGAATACGTTAAATCTGTTCTGAAATTGGCTCCCACCTTCTCATTAATCCTCCTCCTCTCCCTGGATGCGCTAGTGGCTCCCTGACCACCTTCCTTCCCACTCCTGCCTCTGTAGGCTGGGCACCACCCCTGACCATTCCTCTGGCCTTCACACACCACTGGTTACCAACGGCCTACCTGGGCATGGTGCTCAGCTCTGCTCACGGCAGAAAGTGAGATCTGGACTGTGAGAGGGCAGGCAGCAGTACCCAACCAGGAGGATCCAGAGACTGAGGCACGTGTGACAGTGCTGAGAGCTCTCCTTGCTCAAAGCAATCAACCCCGAAGGGTATGCCAAGGGGTCAGGGCAGGGCTGGAAGCAGGAACAAAGGCCAGGGCACGTCCATCTCCTGAATGTGTCACAGCCCCTGTCCTGCTGCTGCTCAGACCATGGAGCCCTGCTGTCCCCTCTGATGATTTGTCCAATATCTGACATTGGCAGGAAGCCCCTGAGATCCTCAAGGTCTCAGAGAGTTCTGCTAATGGACTGCCACTGTGGTCCAGACTCTCGACAGTGATGCTGATGGGGCTCAGGGTGTGCAGGGGATACAGACAGACAGCACCCACAGTAGCCTGGTGTAGGCTGGTCTCTGCTCTCCTCCCAGCTTGGCTTGGAGATGGAACCATCACTGGGTCAAGTCCTGGTGGACAGGAGAAGCTCAATAAACATTTCTGAAATGAAAGAAGCAGTAAAGTAAAGCACAGAAAGCACAGGATTAGATACTTGACAGAAGTGTGGAAATGGCAGGAGCTTCACTGCGGGGAGGGAGAGCAGTTCCTTCAGAGGGAGGGACAAGGGGCTGCAAGGCTGTTATTACACTGTGGGCTTTCAGCTCTGCAAGCCTCCTGGCACACCCTCCAGCCCCCAACAGCAACAGCTCCGAGACTACTACAGAGTGAGTGCTCCATGCATATTTAAGAATCAGTAAATCAGAGGAAATGTCTCCTTTTCAGGCCAGTCCAAACTCATATGGAAAGAGAACTGGGCAGCTGGTGGCCTCTTGGTCAGTGGGCAGCAAGGAACAAGAGTCCCTGTGCTCCATGAGAAGTGTGACCTTGTGACCTGACCTGCTCTCTCTCACTGTCTCCTGCCTCCTCTCTGCTCTGTGTCATCCAGCTCGGGGCCATGCCACCCAACAGGAATGGAAATCTCTTGGTGGTGCCTTTGCAGGAGTTTATGCTGGAGGGATTTGAAGGTGGCCTGCAGACCCAGGCCCTGCTCCTTGCTCTGTTCCTGGCCCTGTATGTGGTGACCATCCTGGGGAACCTCACCATGATCTTGGTCATCACCCTGGATGCCCGTCTGCACTGCCCAATGTACTTCTTCCTCAAGAACCTCTCCTTCCTGGACTTGTGCTACTCATCGGTCATCGCCCCCAATGCCCTGGCTAACTTCTTCTCCTCATCCAAGGTCATCACCTTTGGGGGCTGTGCCACCCAGATCTTCTTCTCCCTGTTTGCTACCACTGAGGCTTTCCTCCTGGCCGTGATGGCCTATGACCGCTTCATGGCCGTCAGCAGCCCCCTGCGCTACCCCATCACCATGTGCCCCTCGGCCTGTGCCCGGCTGGTGCTGGGCTCCTACTGTGGAGGCTGCCTCAACTCCATCGTGCAGACCAGCTTCACATTCAGCCTCCCGTTCGGCAGCTCCAACCACATCGACCACTTCTTCTGTGACGTGCCCCCTCTGCTCCAGCTTGCCTGTGCCAACACAGCCATCAACGAACTTCTCTTGTTTGGCATCTGTGGGCTCATCATTGTGGGGACCACACTCTTGGTCCTTATCTCCTATGGCTACATCACAGCGACCATCCTAAGGATGCACTCTGGAGCTGGGAGACACAAGGTCTTCTCCACTTGTGGCTCCCACATGACGGCTGTGTCCCTCTTTTATGGAACCCTTTTATTCGTGTACGCCCAGCCAGGAGCTGTTGAGTCCACGGAGCAGGGCAAGGTGGTCTCTGTCTTTTACACCCTGGTCATCCCGATGCTCAACCCCATCATCTACAGTCTGAGAAATAAGGACGTGAAGGGGGCCCTGCAGAGGCTGAGCCGGAAACATGCAACCACATGAAGGAGGGAGGCCAGAGAAACAAAGTGTCTTGAGGGATGGAGAAGAAGGCTCAGTGGGTGGCCGTGGGTGTGGATTGAGGAATTCATTTGTCATGCATCTATTCATGATGATCTAGAAATACACAGCCATGTGAAAGATATGACTGGAGGGAGACAAAGTGTCCTGAGGGCTCAGAGGGAGACACTGGACAATGAGGAACCCTCAAATCTCTTCCACTTCCAAATGGAATTGGATGTGTTGAGGAACTCATTCATTTATTCAATCAATGTTGCTTGAAAGCATTTTATGGACCAGGCATTTACTAAATGTGAGATGCATAGATGAATAAGGCATGTTCTGCATCCAGAACTCTAAATGTTCAAAGAAGGAGCAATGACTCAAATCATGTGTGGACCAATTGAGCAGAGCAATCAACTGAGCATCAAAGCAGGGGTGGTCTTCTGCCTCTTACCTATCATGGTTCTCTGGGTCATCCCATGGGTTTTAGGAGGAGAGAAGTCAGATATTTGTGCACCTTTACCAAACTTGGAAGGAAAAAAAATGTTTAGATGCAATTTACCTCCACCCCTCCCAGCCTACCCAGATGCAGGGCCTTGCCATCTACTGTTGGCCACACGTGAACATCAACTGACAGGGCCCCCTGCCTCCACTGTGCCTCTTTTCAGCCCATCTTCCACACCATCACCAAAGAGATCTGTTTAAAACAATAATTTAAATACATGGCCAAGGCGTTCCCCATAATGAGTTTGATGTCTATAGGAAAAGTTTTGGCTGGAGAAGTCCAGATCTGATTAACAGTGCCTCTCTCGTGGTCTGAGGTGAATGCATTGGTTCAGGGCCAGAAGGTTCCTTGGGCTGTTGCTCCATCACAGCAAGGGCATGGATGACATTGTCATGAGAGAGGATGACCCAGAGCACCAGCCATGGCATCCACCTTCCTAGTCACAGGAGGGAAAACATGAAGTATATACACATAGGTATAATTTTTGTTTCTACAGAAAAAATACTCAAATCATATCCACTCAGGGAGGTCGCCACCATCCAGGTCAAGAAAGAGAAATTTACCCAATTCCCACAATATCCTATTGCCTCTTTTTAGCCATTGCCCTCCAAGGTTAAGCCCTATCCTGCCTCTGACACATAGATTAGTTCTGCCCGTTGTGAACTTCCTATGAATAGAAACATACAGCTTGTCTTCTTTTGTGACTGACATTTTTTTGTTAACATTAGCTTTGTGAGATTAATCCATGTGACTGCACATAAGTAGTTTTTTAAATTTTCATTACTATATAAGATTCCAGTATAGGAAGATACCATAATTTATCAGTCCTACCGTTAATGGACATGGGCTGTTTCCAGTTATTAGCTTTTAAAATAATGCTGCTATGAAATTTTTTTACATGTCTTTTGCTGTGAACCAATTTCTGTTGGGCATTCTTGGGAGCTGAATTGTTCATCTTTTTGGTTAATTTCAAATAGTTCTACCAAAATGCTATAAAAATTTTTGTCCCCACAAACAGTGCCTGAGAGTTTCTGTTGCTGTGCATCATCATGAACAACCATATTGCCTCTTTTATCAATTTTAGTCAGTCTGGTGATTATGTAGTCATAATCTTGGTGACTTTCATTTTCACTTCTCTACTGGCTAACGAGCTTGACCATATTTTCATACATTCAGTGGCAATTTGGATGTTCTTTTTGGGGAAGTATACATATTTTATCCATTTTTTTCTACTGTGTTGTTTTTCTTTTTCATATTGATTTTAGAAATTCTTTATATATTCTGGATATGAGACCTTTGTTGGTTATATGATTTGCACATATCTTCTCCTACTTTGTGGCTTCCGTATTTACACTCGTATGGACTATTTTTTTGAAATTTTTCAATTAACAGAAGTTCTTAAACTTACTCAGGTTTAGATAAACTAACCTTTAGGTTAGGAATGACCTTTAGTCATTTCCTCCATGGTTACTTCATTCTGTGGCTTAAAGAACCACTGCCTATGCCAGATCCAAAAAGATATTCTTCTACGTTATCTTGTATAAGTTTCTTTGCTTAGTATTTTATATTAGTATCTATACTTCACATGGGATTAATTTTCTTGTGGTTTTTGTGATGTAGGGGTTATTTCATTTTTTCTATATGGTTATCCTACTGACCATTTATTTTTTTTAAATGTCTTTTTCTCCATACTGGTATGTAGTGTCACCTTTGTCATAAACCAAGTGTCCTTGTATACAGGGGTCTGTTTCTAGAGTCTTATTCTGTCCCATTGGGCTATCTGTCTATTCTTGTATTATTTTTAATATGTTATTGAATGTTTAAAAGTAAAATATCATAATATTAATTCTTCAGTATGTATGAATAAATATAACAAATAATGTACAATATCTTTAGAAATAAAATTTTAAGTGTTATTGAAAGACATAAAAAGAGAACTAAATAAATGGAGAGATATACCATGGTCATGGATAGGAAATTTTAACATTATAAAGATCCTTATATGCAACATAGCCAATATACTCAATGCTGTCTTACTCTTAACTTGATTTTTTTATAGTACTGGACAAATGATTCTAAAATTTCTATGTAGAAACCAAAGAATAAGAATACCCAAAGCAATGAGAAAAATTAGAGCAAAGAGAAGGAATGTGCCCTTATGGTGAGGCTTATAAGACCAAACCAGGAGAAGTCTGGCCATGTTGGCACTCTCTTGGGGCAATCCTGGTCCCTCCCTTGTCCCATAAAGCCAATATTCCTCTCGTAACAAGTCTACAATTGAGCCCAGAGTGAAGCTCCTTCATAGCTTTCTGGCCACACCTCTATCATGTTCCCCTCTGCCCTCCTCCAGCACAGTCCCAGTGTCAACTCCAGGACAGATTTATGTACTCTTCTTGCATGCCTTTCTTCCACTGTGGATGCTTCTACCAATGCATCTCTCATGTTACAATGATGGCAACTGTGCGTTTGTGTGCGTGCGCCTCAAGGACAGAGATCACAACTCCGTTGTCTCTGTAGCACCAGCTCACAGCACCTAGTGGCTGCTGAATATATGTTGAACTGAACTGAGCCACCCAAACTGCATCACCATCAGCAGACTAGTTCATCATAAGCATCACTAAGAGGCCATCAGGCAGGAGCATCTTCACCTTCGGTCTCCATGGCACTCTCATCTTTACCTACTTCCTCCTAGCTTCACAAGATGAACTGTCCCCATCCTGCTCAAGGCTGAACACTGCACTGTATGGAATTCTACCATGTCCATTCCTTCAGCCTCCTCCAGGACTCTCTGCCAACAAGCATCCTCTCTCTCATTTAATTTTGACCTTTCTCTTTCCTAATTCATTCTCTCTAGCCTTCAAACATATTCAAATATCTCTCATCCTTTCTTTTAGCTCAGACATCTCTGTAGCCTGCTAATCTCTCTCTTTCCTCACGAAAGTTCCTTAAAATCATATTCTACACTCACTGTCTCTTGACTTGAGAGCTATATTTCATCCCATTGCAATCAGATCTCTGCACCCGTCACTGCCTCTAACAGCTCCCACTACTAACACCAAGCCTAAAGGACACTTTCTAGTCCTTATCAGTGATGACCTCTGAGTAGATCTGGCTATTGTTAGCCCTTTCTTCTTTGACAGTGCCTACTCCTTTAGTGTCTGGGACATTTGGCAATCCCTGTTCTTTCCAAACACCTCTGATCATTCCTACCCAGACACTCTTCTTGGGCCCTCTCTTTCATGCTATTTAAATGCTGGTGCCCCCAGGGGGCTATTCTTGTCCCTCATCTGTCCACAGTCTATTTGCCCCCCCAGTGACCTCTGAGGTCATTATCTCCATATGAGATCCTCCAATCTCATCCATCCCCAACCATAATGCACAAATACTAAGTGTGCAGCACAATGATTGTCACATATAAAAATCCCCATGAAACTACCAGCCATGTCAAGACTGAAAACATTTTCAGAACAAAAGAAGGCCCACTTGTGCCCCTTCCCAATTAATACCCTGACCCTAGGGTGACAACTTTTCTGATCTCTAATAACATAAATTAGGTTTGTCTGCTTTTGAACATCATGAAAATGGAATTATGTAATGTGTACTTTTTTGTCTGGGGTATTTGGCCCAACATAGTGCCTGTGAAAGTCATCCATGCTGTTGCACGTAGCAGTGGTTCATTCTTTCCCACTGCTGCCTCGTATTACATAAATATACCACAACTTATTTATTCTCTCTACTATTGATGGCCATTGAGTTGTTCCACTTTGGGGGCTATCATAACTCAAACTGCTATGAGCAATCTTTTGTGTTTCTTTTGATCATCATAAGCATTGATTTATATTGCAAATATGCCAAGTAAACTAAAATTGCTGGGTCACTGAGGCATATGTTTACTTTAGTAGATAATACCAGTTAAGAAAACTTCGTGATTATTTATACAGAAAATTTCAAAGAATCTACAAAATATCTCTAAGAACAATAAATATATTTAGCAAAGTCTCAGGACACGAAGTCAGCATACAAAATCAATAATATTTCTATATACTAGCAATAAATGATTAGAATTTGAAATTTTAAAAGTACCATTTACAATAGCACCAAAGAAATAAAATACTTCAGTATAAATCTACAAAAGAAGCACAAGATATATTTGCATAAAATTATAAACACTGATTTAAAAAATTAAAGAAAGCCTAAATAAACAGAGAGATAAGTGGTGTTCATGAATCAGAATACTCTACATTGTTAAGGTATCAATTCACCCAAATTTGATCTGTAGATTCAATGCAAACTCAGTCAAAATCCCAACAGGCTCTTTTTAGACATTGGTGAGCTAATTTTAAATTTGCACGGAAAGGCAAAGGAACTAGAATAGGTCTATTAGTTATCTATTGCTGATTAATAAATCATCCCAAAACTTAGAGGCTGAAAAAAAAAAAACATTTATCATCTCAGTTTCTGTGAATCAGGAATGTGGAAGCAGCTTAGCGGGGTTGTTCTGGCTCAGGGTCTTTCTTGAGGCAGCAAACTGTCAGCCTGGGCTGCGGTCATCTAAAGGCTCAGCTCAGGGAGTATCTACTCCCAAGATCACTCATGTGTCCTTGGACAGGACTTAAAAGATTTTTCCACAGGACTGATCAATGACACTACAGTTGACTTCCTCCAGAATATGCAATGAGATACAGAGACAGAGACAGAGACAGGGAGAGATACAGAGGCAGAGAGACGGGGTGGGGAGGAGAAAACCCCAAGATGGAAACCAGGTCATTTTATAATCCCATCTCAGAAGTAACAGCCCATATTTTTCCTGTATTCTATTTATTTGATTCATTTCTCTCACACATGAAAAATATATTCATTCCATCCCAGGGTTCCTAAAAACCTCATCCCATTACTGCATCAGCTCAAAGTCTAGAATCTTCTGATTTATATTAGGCCCAATGTTAATGAGGCTCCCCAGATGCAGTCTCTTAATTATGGCTTGTTGAGTACAGTTTTTCTCCATTGGTAGACTTTTGAAACTAAGGAGGGAAGTTATTTGCATCCCCACACGCCAAACATACAATGGTGGGACAGGCATGGGATAACTTCTGTAGACATTCCTGTTCAGAAAGTGGGGAAGAGGGAAGCACGAAGCTGTCATTGGACCATAGCAATTTTGAAATCCAGCTGGGAAATGCTGGAAGTTCCTTAATTATGTCTGATGGCCTGGGAATAATTCTCTGTGGCTCTTGGCTCTGCCCTCTGGGCTCTTGGTTCTGTTGTTTGAGATGTCTTTCCTTTTACAGGAAAGGTATAAAATATTTTTAGCTAAATAGCTCTCTCACTCTGATTTCTGCCAATATAATTCTGGGGGCCAGAAGGCCTCTTTCCCTTCTGACTTTTCACTGTCCTCCTCACAGCTAGCTGATGATGCTTCTGCATATTTAACTCTTTGAAGAACTTGGGAGGTCTCCTGAAAATCTTGGGTTTCTTTGAAGTAATTCCTTCTATATTTTGGCATCCTGCTGAAACTGCTGAGGGACAATGTCCCTAAGCTTCCTAGAGGTGTTGTTTTGTGAGTGAGAGGATGCATGAGGCATATCCTTATTCTCTTTTGAAGACTTGTTATGACTGAGACACCACTTTAGATCTTTGTAAGTCTTAACAAAGAATTTCACAGTCACCTCCTTGGCTTGATTTCTGTATCTAGTTTTCCTGGCAGTGCCCTGGATTTGAGCTTTTCTTAGAGGCCATTTCTTAATTTTAGCATTATTTGTAATCTGGAGAGGCTGAGAATTTTCAAAACCAGGAATTCCTGGCTCCTTTTTGTTTAACAGTATTTCACTTAGTTTATCTATATCCTCTTGCATTTTACTATAAACAACAAGAAGACAACATGTGGCACTTCCAACACTTTGCTTGGAAATCTCCTTAGCTAGATTTCTCAATTCATTAGAATTATTTCTACTTTCCTCATTACTGCAGGCAACAGCATTGACAAACTTTCTGCCACCATATAACTAGTATGCCCTTCGATCCAGTTTCCAGTAAGATTTACCTCACTTTCCTGTAAGCTCTTATTGAAGAACATGAGGCTTCTGGAAGGCACTCTAGACTTCACAAATACCATCCTCAAAGCCCGCTGCCTGGTTCCAACACCACTCCCACATTTTAGCATTTTGTTGTGGAAACACCCCACTTCCACGTACCAAAATCTGTTCTAGTTATCTATTGATGCATAACAAATTATCCGCAAATTTAGCAGCTTAAAACAAAAACATATATTATCTCACAAAGTTACAGAGAGTCTGCAGTCTGGGAACAGCTTAACTGGGTGACTCTTTCTCAGGGTCACTCAAGAGAATGCAGTCCAAGTGTAGACTGCAGCTGCAGTCAACCAAAAGATCCACTGGTAGGCTCACTCACGTGATTGTTGACAAATGTCAGATCCTCACTGAATAACTCACTTCCTTGCCAAGTGGATCACTCTATATGGTGCCTGAGTGTCCTCACAATGTGAAAGCTGTTTTACTCCAGAGAAAATGATGAGAGACACAGAGAAGGAGAGAGAGAGGGAGATCAAACGAGAATCCACAGTTTCTATATAACCAACCTAATCTTGGGAGAAACATACCATCACATTCTACTCATTAGAAGGAAGTAACTAAGTCAAGGCCACCCTGGAAGGAAGGGAATTAAACAACGGTTTGAATGCCAGGAGGCAGAGGTCTTTGGGGGCCATCTTAGAGGTTGCCTCTTCCACCCAAATCACAGACTGGAAGAAAATATTTCAAATTATATATTTGACAAGAGAATGATAATAAGAAAACAACTAAATAAACAAACAGGCAAAGAATTTTAACAAACATTTAATTCATCAAAGAAGACATACAGATGGCAAAAAAGCACATGAGAATATGCTCAACATAATTAGTAATTAGGAAATACAAATTAAAACCATGATGAGATACCATTACATGCTCAGTAGAATGGCTAAAATTTAAAAGTCTGATCATAAAGAGCAACTGGAACTCTCATTTGTTGGTGATGAGAATGTAAAATGACACAACTTCTTTGGTAAACAGTGTGGCAGTTTATTAAAAAAGTTAAACAGCTTGGCAATTTATTAAAAAGTTAAACATACACCTGCCATATGAACTAGCGCATCCATTCCTAGGTATATCTATATAAAGACCTGTACATGAACGTTCATAGCATCTATATTTGTAATAGCCGAAGAATGGAAACAGTCCAAGTACATCAACAGAAAGATGCATAAACAGATTCTGGTGCACACATACAATGGACCACTACTCAGCAAGAAAAATTAACAAACTATTGATACATGCAACAATATGGATGGATCTCAGAATCAGTATGCTACATCTAAAAAGTCAGACAAAAAAAGATACATGTACTGTATGATTCAATTTATATAAAACTCTAGCAAATACAAAATAATCTATATAGAAAACAGGTCAGTGGTTGCCTGAGGAGGAGGACAAGGAAGGAGCAAAAGGGAGGAAAAATATGGGCATGAAGACTTTTGGCGTCTGGTCCAGCATGTAAGGGGCGCAAGTCACCATTCCATCCTAACAAGTAAAAACCTAAAAAAACTGAAAAATCAACTCTTCTTAGATCCATTAGAGAAGTGAGATTACAAGGCAAACCACTGCTCCCAAAATTGGAGAGATTCATCAGACAGATGAATACAGAGAATCACAACTTACTGGAGCAGAAACTCATGAGCTGAAACCTCCATGGGAACCAATGCCAAGGTAAGAAAACCTGAACTATAATTGATGAATTGCTGTAGGCTCAATGTGGACAAGTCTGAGAGATAAAAACTCCAGGGGGACCCAGTCATCAGGAGGCCCCTACACTTTTGGGAGTTTTACCTCCTGGAGCTCAGCCAGGTCCTCAAGTGAATATTGGAGAAAAATTCCTTCGTGCTTCCATCAGGGGGAGGGGAAAAGAAACCATTTTGAAATACACCAGAGCATTCTGTTCTTCTTAACAAGGTTTGCCCTCAGGAGAAACTATTTAACCACAGCCTAATCTGATGGGGTGTTATCAGAACATAACCGAGCTGGGGGAAGGGAAATACCCAACTCCACTGGCCCTAGTCTTCCACATGGAAGAGGAAAATACCCACCTCCAGCCCACTCTAGTCATCCTATCCCATCTAAGGGGTGTGTCTGAAAATAAAACACTTGTGAAGCTCACAGTGAGAGCACTTGTGAAGTTCAGCGTCCAGAGACACAGGCTCACTAAGACTGAGACTTAATAATAGGACTGTAGACTGCTTCCCCTGCCCCCACACCTCACCACCATATTACTAAAGACCTATTTACAGCAGTTCTTTTTACCCAGTACATCATATTCAGCTATCAAGAAAAAATTACAAGGCATACTAAAATATAAAAACATGGTTTGAAAAAAAAGAGAGCAAGCATTAAAACCAGACTCAGATATGGCATAAACACTGGAACTATCAGACCAGGAATTTAAAACAACTATGAATAATATGCTAAGGGCTACAATGGATAAAGTAGACAGCACCCAAAAACAGAGGGGCAATGTAAGTAGAGAGCTAGAAATTCTAAGAAAGAACCAAAATAAATGCTATAGATAAAAAACACTAACAGAAATGAAGAATGCCTTAGATGGACTTATTAGTAGACTGGACATAGCTGAGGAAAGAAGCTCTGAGCCTGAAGATATGACAGTAGAAACTTCCGAAACTGAAAAGCAAAGAGGAAAAAAAACTGAAAAAAATCCCAGAATACCCAAGAACTATGAGACAACTATGAAAGATGTAATATATGTATAATGGGAATACCGGAAAGAGAGAAAGAAATATTTGAAACAAAAATAACTGAGAATTTCCTCCAAATTAATGTCAGACACTGTCTTAGTTCAGGCTAAGACAGAATATAACAAAATATCATAACAAAAATATCATAGACTATGTGGTTTAAACACCAGTTATTTGTCACAGTTCTGGAGGCTGGGAAGTCCAAGATCCAGCGTCTGGTGAGGCCGCTCTTCCTGGTTTGCAGATGGCCATCTTGCTGTGGTACCTTCACGTGGCAGACAGAGAGAAGACACAAACTCCGGCAGCTCTCCTCTTATAAGGGCTCCACCCTCATGACCTAACTCCCAAAGTACCAATCTCCAAATACCATCACAGTGGGGATTAGGGATTCAAAACATGAATTTTTGGGGGACACAAACATTCATTCCATAGCAGAGACCAACCACAGATCCAGGAAGCTCAGAGAACACCAAGAATAATAAATACCAAAACAAACAAACAAACAAACCTCAATCAAAAAACTATATGTAGGCATATCATATTCAGAATCAAAAATAAAGCAAAAAATCCTGAAAGAAGCCAGAAGGGAAAAAAAAAAACCCTTACCTATAGAGGAATAAAGTTAAGAATTACATCCAACTTCTCCTCAGAAACCACGCAAGCAAGAAGAGAGTGGAGTGAAATATGTAAAGCGTTGAGAGAAAAAACCCACCAACCTAGAATGCTGTACCCTGTGAAATCATTCCTCAAAAGTGAAAGAGAAATAAAGACTTTCTCAGACAAACAAAAATTGAAGGGATTTCTTTCCAGTAGACCTGCCTCATGCAAGAAATATTAAAAGGAGTTCTTTCTTGCCTTATGCAAGAGATATTAAAAGGAGTGTTTTAGAGAGAAGAAAAATGATATAGGTCAGAAACTCAGATCTACATAAAGAAAAGAAGACCATCAGAAAAAGAACAATGAAGGTAAAATAAAAACTTATTTTTCTTATTCTTAATCGATCTAACAGATAACATTTTTTCAAAATAATAATAGCAACTGTGTATTCAATTATGTATATCTATATATATCTACATATCTATATTCATGTTTATGTCTGCTTATGTATAAGTGAAATGAATGGCAGCAATGATACAAGGATGGGAGGGAGCAATTAGGATTATTTTGTTATAAAATTCTCGTAGTACCCGTGAAGCAGTATAGTGTCATTTGAAAGTAGACTTGGATTAATTGTAAATGTATATTGAAAACTCTAGGGCAACTAACAAAATAAAAGTAAAAAAAGAAATATAACTGATATGCTAAGAAAGGAGAGAAAATAAAATCATATAAAATGCTCAATTAAAACTATAAAAGGCAGAAAAAGAGGGAAGACAAAACAGAAACAAAGAACAAGGGCAACAATAGAAAACAGTAACAAATATGGTAGATCTTAGTCCAACAATATCAATAATCACTTTGAACATCAATGGTCTAAATGCACCAATTAAAAGACAGAGATCGTCAGAGCAGATCAAAAACCAAAACCCAATTATATGTTATCTATAAAAATCCCAGTTAAAATATAGACTAAAATTAAATGGATGAAGATCACCCATGCTAACACTAATCAAAAGATAGTGAGAGTAATCATATTCATTTCAGACAGAGCTAACTTCACACCAGGGAAAGTTATCAAGGATAAAGATAGGCATTATATAATGATAAAGGGTCATTCTCCAAGAAGATACAACAATCTTTAACGTGTATGCACCTGCCAACAGAACATCAAAATGCATGAGGCAAAAATTGGTAGACCTGCCAGGAGAAATAGATGAATTCACTATTATAGTTGAAGACTTCAACACCTCTCCACCATAAATGGACAGATCCAGCTGGCAGAAAATCAGTAAGGACATAGTTGAACTGAACAACACCATCAATCAACTGGATATAATGGACATCTACAGATTACTTCATCCAACAACAGAAGACACATTATTCTCAAACTTGCCTGGAATATTCACCACGACAGATCAATTCTGGGCTATAAAACACACCTTAACAAATCCAAAATAATATAAATCATACAATTTCTGCCCTCAGCCCACATAGGAATAAACTAGAAATCAATAACAGAAAGATAGGAGGAAAATCCCAAAACACATGGATATTAAACCACACACTTCTAAATAACACATGGGTCAAAGAAGAAATATCAAAGGAAATTTAAATCCAAAGTAAGCAGGAGGAAAGAAATAATAAAAACTAGAGCTGAAATTAATGAAATTAAAAACAGGAAAACAACAGAGGAAATCAATGAAACCAAAAGTTGGCATTTTGAAAAGATCAATAAAATTGATATGCCTCTAGCCAGGCTAAGAAAAACAGAGAGAGAAAACAAAAACTACTAATATCAGAAATGACAAAAAGGACCTAACTATAGACCCCAAGGACATGAAAAGGATAATAAAAGAATACTGAAACAACTCTATGCCCAATAATTTGATAACCTAGATGAAATGGACCAATTCCTTGAAAGGCACAATCTGTCAAAACTCATACAAGAAGAAACTGACAATCTGGATATGTCTATACCTTTTAAAGAACTTGAAAACAATAATTAATAACCTCCCAGACTGAAAGCACCAAACCCAGATGGGTTCATTGGTGAATTCTACCAAACATGTAAGAAAGAAATTGTACCAATTCTCTATAATATCCTCAGATGATAGAAGCAGAGAGAATACTTCCCAACTCATTCTGTGAGACCAGGATTACCATGACACCAAAACCAGATGAAGATATTACAAGAAAAGAAAACTACAGACCAATATCTTTCATGAGCAAAGATACAAAAATCCTCAACAAAATATTATCAAGTTGAACCCTACAATGTATAAAAAGAATTATACACCATGACCAAGATGGATTTATCCCAGGTATTCAAGGCTGGTTAAACTTTCTAAAGTCAATTGGTATAATCCATCACATCAACAGGCTAAAGAAGAAAAACTGTATGATCATGTCAACAGATGAAGAAAAACCATTTGACAAAATCCAATATCCATTCGTGATAAAAAAAAAAATCAGTAAACTAGGAATAGAGGGGAACTTCAACTTCATAGAGAATATCTACAAGAAACCTATAGCTAACATCATACCTAGTGCTGTGAAACCTGAAGCTTTCCCACTAAAACAGGAACAAAGCAAGGATGTTCCCTCTCACCACTCCTTTTTAACATCATACTGGAAGTCCTAGCTACTTCAATAACACACAAAAAAGGAAAGAAATGATACCCTGATTGGGAAGGAAGAAATAAAACTGTCTTTGTTCACAGATGATATGATCACTATGTAGAAAGTCCAAAAGAATCGACAAAAAAACAATTCTTGGAACTAACAAGCAATTATAGCAAGGTTGCAGGATATAAGATTAACATACAAAAGAAAATAGCTTTCCTATATATCAGAAATGAACAAGTGAAATATGAAATTTAAAACACAATACCATGTGCATTAACACCCCCTAAAAATGAAATACTTAGGTATAAAGTAACACAGTATGTACAAGATCTGTATGAAGAAAACTACAAAACTCTGATGAAAGAAATCAAAGAAGTAAATAAATGGAGAGATATTCCATGTTCGTGGGTAGGAAGACTCAATACTGTTAAGATGTCAGTTCTTCCCTACTTAGATTCAAAGCAATTCCAATCAAAATTCCAGCAAGTTATTTTGCGGCCATTGACAAACGGATTCTCAAGTTTCTTCATGCATCTCTTTAAAATAAATTTTATTTTAGAGCAGTTTTTGATTCATATCAAAATTGAGCAGAAACAGAGATTCCTCATGTACCCTTGCCCCTACACATGCATAACACATCCCCCACAAGAGTGGTACATTTGTTACCATTGGTTAATCAACATGGACACATAATTATCACCCAAAGTCCATAGTTTACATTATGATTCACTCTTGGTTTTGTATATTCTATAGATTTGGACAAATGTGTAATGACATTTATCCATCATTATAGCATCATACAGAGTATTTTCACTGCCTTAAAAATCTTCTGTGCTCCATCCACATTTCATTCCTCCCCAACTCTAACTCCTGACAACCACTGATCTTCTTACTGTCTCCATAGTTATCTCTTTTTCCAGAATGTCATATAGTTGGAATCATACAGTATGTAGCCTTTTGAGATTTTCTTTAACTTAGTAGTATGCATTTAAGTTTCCTCCATGTTTTTTCATGGCTTGATAGCTCATTTCTTTTTAGTGCTGAATAATATCCCACTGTCTGGATATACCACAGTTTATTTATCCATTTACCTATTGAAGGACATCTTGGTTGCTTCAAGTTTTGGCAGTTATGAAAAAACTGCTATAAATATCCATGTGCAGGTTTTTGTGTGGACATAAATTTTCAACTCCTTTGGGTAAATACCAAGGAGTGCAATTGCTGGATTGCATGGTAAAAGTATGTTTAATTTTGTAAGAAATTACCAAGCTGTTTCCCAAGTGGCTGTACAATTTTGCATTCCCACCAGCAATGAATGAGAGTTACTGTTGCTCCACATCCTTACTAGCATTTGGTGTTGCTAGTATTCTGGATTTTGGCCATTCTAATAGGCATAGTGTCTCATGATTGTTTTAATTTGCATTTCTCTGATAACATATGATGTGGAACATCTGTTCATATGTTTATTTGCCATCTGTATATCTTCTTTGGTGAGGTAACTGTTCAAGTCTTTGGCCCATTTTTAATCAAGTTTTTGTTTTCTTATTGTTGAGTTTTAAGAGTTCTTTGTATATTTTGGATAACAGTCATTTTTCAAATGTGTTTTACAAATATTTTCCCCTAGTCTGTGACTTGTCTTATAATTCTTTTGACATTGTCTTTCACAGAGCTAAATTTTTAAAATTTTTATGAAGTCCAGCTTATCAATTATTTCTTTCATGGATCACGCCTTTGGTGTTGTATCTAAAGAGTCATCACTGTGCCCAAGATCATCTAGGTTTTCTCCTGTGCTATCTTCTAGGTGTTTTATAGTTTTGCATTTTACATTTAAGTCTATGATCCATTTTGAATTTAATTTTATGAAGGGTGTAAGATCCATGTCTAGATTCACTTTTTTTGCATGTAGATGTCCAATTGTTCTAGCATCATTTGTTGAAAAGACTATCTTTTCTCCGTTGTGTCATCTTTGCTCCTTTGGCAAAGATCAGTTGACTATGTGTATGCGGGTCTATTTCTGGGCTCTCTATTCTGTTCCACTGATCTATTTGTCTATGCTTTTGCCAATACCACACTATCTTGATTACTGTAGCTCTCTCTACAGTAAGTCTTGGAGTCGGGTGGTGTCAATCCTCCAACTTTGTTCTTCTCCTTCAATATTGCATTCACTGTTCTGGGTCTTTTACCTCTCCATAGAAAATTTAGAATCAGTTTGTCAACATCCACAAAATAATTTGCTGTGATTTTGATTGGAATTGCATTGAATCTATAGATCAAGTTGGGAAAAACTGACATCTTGACAATAGTGAGTCTTTCCATCTCTGAATATGGAATATCTCTCCGTTTATTTAGTTCTTCTTTGTTTTCATCAGAATTTTGTAGTTTTCTTCATATAGATTTTGCACATATTTTGTTAGATTTACACTTAAGAATTTCAATTTGAGGAGTGATAATGTAAATGTTATTGTGTTTTGCATTTCAATTTCCACTTGTTCATGCTGATATATAGGAGAGCAATTTTCTTTTGTATATTAACCTTGTATTCTGCAACTTGCTGTTAATTGTTTATTAGTTCTAAGAGTTTTTTTGTCAATTCTTTTGGGTTTTCTACAAAGGCAATCTTGTCATCTGTGAACAAGACAGTATTATTTCTTCCTTCCCAACCTGTATGTCTTTTCTTTTCTTCCTTCCTTTCTTTTTTTGGGGGGCGGGTGGGTGGTCTTATCGCATTAGCTAGAACTTCCAGTACAATGTTGAAAAGAAGTGGTGAGAGGAGACATTCTTGCCTTCTTCCTGATCTTAGCGGGAAAGCTTCAAGGTTCTCACCATTAAGTATGATGTTAGTGGTAAGTTTTTTGTAGACATTCTCTCTCAATTTGAGGAGGTTCCCCTCCACTCCTAATTTACTGAAAGTTATTTTTCTTTGGTAAGGAGGATTGGCCCTGAGCTAACATCTGTTGCCAATCCTCCTCTTTCTGCTGAGGAAGATTAGCCCTGAGCTAAACAACTGCGCCCATCTTCCTCTATTTTATATGTGGGACACCTGCCTCAGCATGGCTTGATGAGCAGTGCATAGGTCTGTGCCCGGGATCTGAACCTGCAAACATCAGGCCGCCAAAGCAGACCACGTGAACTTAACCACTACACCACTAGGCCAGCCCCCTACTGAGAGTTTTTATCATGAATGTGTGCTAGATTTTTTCAAATGCTTTTTCTGCATCTATTAATATGATCGTGTGATTTTTCATTTTTATATTATTTCTGTGATGGATTACATTAATTGAGTTTTGAATATTTAACTAGCCTCACATACCTGGGATAAATCTCTCTTGGTCATGGGTATGTATACCCAGGTGTATAATTCTTTTTATACATTGTTGGATTTGATTTGCTATAGCCAAAACAATTTTGAAAAAAAAAATAGAGCCATAGTATATCAAGACATTGTAGTATTTGCATAAGAATAAACATATAGATCAATGATACAGAATAGAAAGTCCAGAAATAAACCCTTCCATACTTGGTGAGATGATTTTTGACAAAGGTGTTAAGGAATTTCAATAGGGAAAGGAGATTCTTTTCAACAAATGGAGTTAGACAAACTGGATATCCATGAGGAAATAAAAAATGGTCTTCAACTCTTGCTCTGACTGTGTGTAAATATTAATTTGAAATGGATCACAGATGTAAAACTATATAATTTCTAGAGAAAATCATAGGAGAAAATCTTCACAACCTTGCAGTAGGCAAAGATTGCAAGACCCAAAAATATTAACAAAAAAAATGAAAGAAATAGACTCCACCAAAATTTAAAACTTCTCCTCCTCCAAAGACACAGTTAAGAAAATGGAAAGGCATGCCAAAGACTGGGAAAGATATTTTCATTACACATATCTGACAAAGGACTTGTATCAAACTATATGAAGAACTCTCAAACTCAGTAATAAGAAGACAAGTGACTCCTCCCTGCCCAAGAAAAGGGCCAAACATTCTAATAGACACTATACCCAAGAAGATGTACAAATGGACAATAAACAAGTAAGATACTCAACATCATGAGTCATCAGGGAAACACAAATTAACACCCACTATTACACGTCCACTTGAGTGGCTATGATTAAAAATTCTGACAATAGTATATGTTGGAGAATATGTGGAGCTACTGGAGATGTACACTTACACAACCACCTTGGGAAAGCATTTACCAGCTTCTCGTAACGTCAAACATACATTTCCAATATGGCCCATCAATTCTGCTCCTAAGTATTTAACCAAGAGAAATGGAAACAAGTCCACAAAAAGACTTGTACATAATGTCCATACCAACTTTATTCATAGTATCCAAAAACTGAAAACAATTCAAATGTCCATCACAGATGAGTTAATTAAAAATGTGGTATATCCATACAATGGCATAGTACTCAGCAATAAAAAAGAATGAACTACTGATACATGTATCAACATGTATGAATCTCTAAAACACTATCTCCACAAAATACGCCAAGAGTTTGATTCCATTTCTATGATATTTTAGAATAGCTAAACTATGCTATAGTTACAGAAAGCAAATCAGAGGTTGCAGGTGGAGAGGTTTTAACTACAAAGGAGTAGGAAGGGGGGCCGGCCCGGTGGTGCAAGCGGTTAAGTGCGCGTGCTCTGCTGTGGCGGCACGAGTTCGCTGCTTCGGATCCTGGGTGCGCACCAACTCACCGCTTGTCAAGCCATGCTGTGGCAGCGTCCCATACAAAGTAGAGGAAGATGGGCATGGATGTTAGCCCAGGGCCAGTCTTCCTCAGCAAAAAGAGGAGGGTTGGCAGATGTTAGCTCAGGGCTGATGTTCCTCAAAAAAAAAAGAGTAGGAAGGAATGTTTTGGGTTTTGGGATAATGAGAATGTCCTACATCTTGTATGTGACAAAAATTACATGGATACCTACATTTGCCAAAACATCACTTGTACACTTAAAATGGGTGCATTTTACTACACGTAAACTATATCTCAATAAAGTCGGTTAAAAAGAAATGATCTCTTGAAATGTTTTGTTTTCTGCCCTATGAATAGAGCAAGAGTAGCTTCTTTTCTTATTCAGGTTCTGAATACAGACATCTGGAGCAGGGCAAAATAATAAATCTATTTGTTTTCTTTATTTTTCCTTAAATTCCCAAATTCCTCCATAGAACACAGTTCCAGTGTTTTAACTTTAACAAGTTTCTTGCATTTTGCTTCCAGGGGTGAGAGGCAAATGTTGCCACATCCAAATGTGGTTGGATTATTTGGGTCTGGAAAGATTATTATCATCTTTCCTCTGATCTGTAATTGAGGGCAATGCCCTTGATTAGCAACTCGCGTTTGGAGCAGAAGGACAGGCAGAGGCTGATTCAGTAACCGATGGAGTGTTCCTCCCTGACATGCTGATTCCATTCCAGTACAAGCTGTGACCTACACATACTGCTGGTTAACAGTCTTAAGAATCTAGTCGAGGGGCTGGCCTGGTGACGAAAGTGGTTAAGTGTGTGCGCTCCGCTGCGGCGGCCCAGGATTCGCCGGTTTGGATCCCAGGCGCGCACCGACGCACCGCTTGTCAAGCCATGCTGTGGCAGCATCCCATATAAAGTGGAGGAAGATGGGCACGGATGTTAGCCCAGGGCCAGTCTTCCTCAGCAAAAAGAGGAGGATTGGCAGATGTTAGCTCAGGACCGATCTTCCTCACAAAAAAATAGAGAGAGAGAGAATCTAGTCGAAAGCAATCTGTGATAATAATGGCTACCTCCTACTTAGTGTGGGTGTGGCTGCATGCTCTGGTCTTTACTTCATTTGATCATTTCGCCCTTACAATCACTCTACAAGGTAGGTGTTATTATTTTTCCCTCTTAAAACTCATTGTTATGGACTGAATTGTGTCCCCTCAAAATTCGTGTGTTGAAGTCCTAACTCCTAATGTGACTGTACTTGGAGACACAACTTTTAAGGATGTAATTAAGGTTAAACGAGGTATAAGAGTGGGTCCCTCATCCAATAGGACTGGTGTCTTTATAGGAAGAGGAGGAGACACCAGGAGAACAGGCACAGAAGAAAGGCCACATGAGGACATAGAGAGAAGATGGCCGTCTACATTGCCAAGGAGAGAGGTCTCAGCAGAAACAAACCCTGGCAACAACTTGATCATGGACTTCCAGCCTCCAGAAGTGTGAGAAAATAAATTTCCTTTGTTTAAGCCACTCTGTGTGTGGTACTTTGTTACGGCAGCCCAAGCAGACTAATACAGTTTTCTTTAAAAAATTTATTGAGAAACAATTTACATATAACCAAATGCACAGATCTGTTCAGTTTGATGGGTATTGACAATTAATTGCAACGATATAACTACCTCCCACAGACAACACAGAAAATTCTATCATCCCAGAAAGTTGTCTCATTTCCAGTCAATTCCACTCCCTACCCACCTCCACTTTCTGACTTGCATCCCCCCAGATTAGCTTTGTCTGCACTAGGACTTCATCTAAATAGAATTATAATTACGGACTCTTTTGTGTCTGGCTACTTTCCCTCAGCATCACGGTTGCGAGATGCACTCATGCTGCTGTGTACATCTGCATCTGTTCCACCTTTGCTCAGCACCACTCCATTGCTTGTTCATTCTCCCACTGAGGGCACTTGGGTCAGCGTCCAGTGTGGGGCCATTATGAATAAGGCTGGTAACCACTCTCATACAATTTTTGGTGCACACGTGTATTCCTTTCTCTTAGCCAAATACCAGAAAGTGGAATTTGTGTAGGGACGGTCTACAGGAGAGATGTAGGTTTCACTTTTTAAGACACTGCCAAACCATTTCCCAAAATGGTCAGACCTTACACTCCCACCAGCAGGGGGAGTTCCAGAAGAGGCTCCATGTCCTTGATATTTGACGTCTATTTTCTATTTTAGACTTTGGCCATTCAAGTAAGTGTGAAATGACATCTCATTGTCATTTCCTTGATTGATGATATTGAGCATCTTTTCAAGTGCTCATTGGCAATTTGCATATCTCCATTTATAAATTTTCTGTTCTCCTCTTTTGCCCACTTTTTCCTTAGGTTGTCCATGTTTTTATTGTTGATTTGTAGGAGTTCTTTATATATGTTGAATGCAAGTCCTTTGTCAGCTCTGTCTAGTGTAAGATTCCTCAGTCTGCACCTTGACAATTCCTCAAGGTCATCTTCTGCTGAGTAGAAATTTTCTTGAGAACCGTATCTTTTTTTTTCCCTCAGGAAGATTAGCCCCAAGTGAACATCTGTTGCCAATCTTCCCCTACTTTATACGTAGGTCACCACCACAGCATGGCTGACGAGTAGTGCAGGTCCACACCTGGGATCTGAACCTGTGAACCCGGGCTGCCAAAGCAGAGTGTGCAAACTTAACCACTATGCCATGGAGCCGACCCTGAGCTAGGTATCTTTATAACCCTCATTTGTGTAGATGGGAAACGAAGGCAAGGAAGCTAACTAACTTCCTCCAGGTCACACATCTTAGAGGGTAGCACCTCGACCTGGGCCTGAGTGTCCTAGGCAGGGACATTCTGCTGTACTGCTCTGCCCATCCTCAGGGTGCCATCTGGGCAAATCATGTCACCTTGTGAGCTTTCAATTTATTCATCTGCAAACTGAGCACACTACCTACCCCTCTGGAACATTCTGAGGACTTAATGATAGAATATAAATGCTGTGCTCAAAGTTGGCATTCAATGAATGGCATCTTTTGGGATTACTACGATCATCAGCAAGATGCCAGCTAAAGAAAAAATACAGCTAACTGTTCCAAACGTTTTTTTCGTGGCAGGTTTGGTGGTTTTCCAGTCTCAGCAAAAGTTCTAGCAGATTCTTTCAACATTTACTTAACTGCACTGGGCACAGTTGGGGACAGCAGTGAGTCTTCCAAGTGACAGGATAAATGAAGTCTCAGCAAAACAAATTTCAAAGTTGAAAGAGGCAAAAGAAAAAAACAAAACAAAACGAACAACACCGTCTAAGAGCTGCCGGCTGGAACAAATCATCTTGGGCCCCACGCAGGTCCCTTCCTACAGGAGCCTCAATCTACCAGCCCACAAAGCGACTCTCAATTGTGCAAATTCATCTCTGCATTGCCATGTCCTGGGCGAATCCTCAGCTGAGCAGAAAACACTGCCGTGCAGAGCGAGTTCCAGCTGGAAAGATGGGCTCCATCTCTGAGCGAGCCCGGTGCACCTCCTCCCTCCCTATCTGCGGGTCTCTGCCAGGCCCTGACGCTGACAACTTCTCCAAGCTCACAGGATTCAGCCGTGAACTCAGTCCCTCCTTTAGAATTCATGCAAGTTAATCATTCTTGTTGACCTTGAAGGCCAGGGCTTCCTTCTCTGCTTCAACTGCAAACAGGGAACCAAAGAAAATGGAGTGTGACCCAGCTAGGGCCAACCCAGGAGACAAGAAGCAGAGCCCTCTGAGCACTGCCCTCCACCCCCTCACCCACCCCCTCGCCCACCCCACTGGCTGCCCACCCTCCTGCCTCGGGCCCTGCACACACCTGGGCCACTCTTGTCTCCCTCTTCTGTCGCTGCCTCCCCTGCTGCCCTCGGGGGCTCACCTCAAGGCCTTCCTCCAGGTGGGGCCTGCCAGCTGCCCCCAGCACCCACCCTCACACCTTTTACACTGTTTTCATGGCTCCTTCCCCAGGGGGCTGTGAGCTCCATCTCTTGTGACACATTCACACACACACATGATCATATACGGACAAGTATCGTCATAGCCCGTGGGCTAAGGTGGGCGTACAGGAGGAGGGGTGTGCAATTGCTTATGTACGTGCACATGCCACATATACTCACCCAAAAATATACATCTCTACACACACAACAAGGGATAAAATCTATATACTAGATCAACAGGCATAAATGTGTCAGACGACACCACTGACCTCTCTGCATCTCCCCTTTCCCGTCGTGGGCCTCGTGGAACCCCTCCACGTCAACATCAAAGCTGCAGCTCCTCCGTCCGGGGGCAGGACTCCACGGCATGCGCCACCATCACCTCTCGTTTCGTTTCTATGGTTTTTGCCAAGAGGAAAAAATGCTACAACAAACCTGTCATGCGATTGCCAGGTCAAAGGCACACGCATCTCCGCTTTTCATCACTGCTGCCACGTTGCTTCAAAAGGACTGCGACTTCTCAGGTTTCCCGACGTACGGGAGCCCCGCTCCCAGCCGCAATGGGCAGTGTTTAAAATGTTCTCCCCTCCAGGGAGTAAAGCGATGTCTGCTGCCTTGATGTTTTACCAACTCCTTGTGACACTGAGCACCTTTACAGGTTTACTCCGCATTGGACTGGTTTCTGTGAATTGTCTTCTCAGCGTCCCGTGCCCGTTATTTTCTAACGTGTCGCTTCGTTCATGCCACTCTGTGAAAGCACTCTACATCTGGGGACTGTTCACTTCAGCCCTCTGTCTGTGAGCCAGGTTCCTGTGTTCCTTCAAATCCGCCCTTTGTCTCCTGGCTTTGTTATCGCCTCTGGAGTGGGAGTATGCAGCCCTGGACCAGAGACCAGGGTCTGGCCCCTCTTTGCCCCCCGAATGCCGAGTGACCTGGTGCAAACCACTTGTCCAGTGAGAAGACGAGTGTTTCTGCAAGTACAGGAATTTAAGAGAGAGAAAGCCACATGCAGAGGACACAGCATTCCTGTGACCCACAACTGTGCTCACAACACTAGTGGCTGATGTTCACGCAGCACTGGGATTGCCAAGCACAGGGCGCTGCTCCGGGTCTAACTCACATTAACTCACTGACTCCTCATGGCACACCCTCGGGGAAGGTGTGAATGTCACCCCCACTTTACAGGTTCAGGCTCAGGGAGATTTCAATTGTCCCAAGATCACCCAGGGGCAGTCGAGCTCCAGGGACCCTGTTAATCACAGTACGCGCACGCGCACACACACACGCATTCTCTTTCCTGAGCAGGCAGCACACGGAGGACGCGCTCAGGTTCCCTGTTCCCCATGGGGGGC